CTTTGTCGTGCCCTCTGACCTTCATCATGTTGATTCAGGTAACCTACAGGGAATTTTGAGCTGAACACTTTATTTTAATCTAATTTAATTTAGAGAATTCTCATTCTACTGCCTATGTCTAGGGATATTTCAACTAGTTCTTCAACTAGTTCTTATTTATTACAGCTCGCCTTGTTTTCATTGAGTTCAAGTACACACTGCTCAGCAAAGGGATTGAACTTACAATTACTATGACGCCAAATTTACTAACCAACATTTTAAACCACTAGGCTATTGTCCCACGGGGCAATTCTGAGTGGAGAACTTTAATCCTTTAAACTAACCTGCCTACTGATGATTGCTGCTGCACTCAGCTTCTTTTTTTTAGTAGCTGCTGTTGAAGCTTTGCTGTCATATCTTTGTCTTTCTTTATTAACAGGGTTTTATTAAACTTGAATGAAAAACTTTAAGCCTTAAACCTAACCTGCCAGCTGATGATTGCTGCTGCACTCAACACAGTTTGTCTTTTTGCAGTAGCTGCTGCTGCTGAAGCTTTGCTCTCATTCTTTGTCTTTAAAATTATATGCATTTTATTATTACTTAATTAGACGCTGCATATAAACAATTCTCTTTAGCAAAGTTACTGTTATTTTTAAAAAATTATCAAATGGACATAATATGTACACATATACAAATATAACATATACACACACATATATTTATTTGCTTTAAAAGTAGACATAAAATAATTTCCAAATCTCAAATTTTTAATTCTCATTTGTGGGCTATACATAAACTTCCTTACATATAAAATGACCGGTAGAACAATCAGGTCTGGCCTTCATGGCTAGGACCAGTTGTGCCACTTACCTAGTAGCAAACCACCCTCATTCACTTCATATTCCATGTGGAAAATGTGAGTAGTAGAAGATCAATTCTCGTCAAAGAGCTGACTTGGTACTGCAGCAATTTCAAAGAAACACAGTTGACTACTGCCCTCAACCCACTAAAGACACCAGACACATTCTTCTTTATCTGAACAAAGGTCCTCATTCTTATTAGTATATACTTTCACATGCACACATATATTCAGAATTCCTTTCATTGATATAAAACCAAGCTTAAATCTGTAATCTCTGAATGCCATTTCTTCAGAACATTTGCATAACCATTTGTGTACCATTTCCGTTCAATGATTGATATGCAAAATTTTCTTCTTCTATGTGTGTTGTCCCTTCAGAACATATGTGACCATGACTCTATAAAATAGCTTATCCTTTGTAGATCTTAACAATTTTTTTTTATTATCCTTCCCATTCTGTATTTTGCTATCTATTTACACAAATTTGTTATGTTTATTACTTGCTGTTTCCTTCTGCTGCTAATATATCCTGTGAGTGTCAAAATTTCCAAACCTTCTTTCCTATATGTATCAGAGATTCAACACTTTTTGCTTCTAAGTTTAAGCATCATTATTGTTTCCATTGTTCTGAAAACTTCCACATTACTTACATCTATGGTATTCTTAGCATCCTTCTGTAGATACTCATCTCTGTTGCTTCAAGACTCCTTTTCATCTATGAGGAAATTGTCCAGCATCCACTGTCATATAGAAAGAGTCTTGATATGTAGTAGTTGAGCACTCTGTTTTTTTATTTCTAATAACATTTTCCTGTTTCTTAATACTTTGCTTAGATTTTAGAAAGCATATTTTGATATTCTAATGCACCTTCAAATTTCAGTGTGACATTTTCCACTGTCTCTTAAAACACTTTTCCAAGTATTTAAATTTTTATACTTGCTTGATTTCGACACCTCTGACTTACAGCCCACATCCTGGGCTGTTCCTCTTCTTACAATTGATAATTAGTCCTTTCTTGTCACTTTCTTTTGGCTGTACCTATTCCTGATGACCATACATTCTGCCTTCTTAAAATTGATAGTTAGTCCTTTCTTCCTGCTTTTGTATGCAGGCAGATATGTAAAGCTTCATTTTCTCATTCACTTTTAGTTTTGTTTGAAACTAAAAATGTTGTGAGTGAACTCAAGGTTAATAAAATGTTTTTTGTCACTCTAAATATTAATTTGGGTTAACCTACATATTGGAATGAGTTTTCAAGACCCAAAAGCACCTATTTTGCTTTTGAGGCTTCAGGTTTACACAAAAAAAAGAAAAGAAAAATGAATACTGATAGATTATATTACCTGGACAGATGTATCTTCTTTTATGTACGTTTAAGGACGTGGACAATCATGGCTCTACACAACCTCCTGTCATTTGTTGCACTATGTAACTTTTGAGCTTTTGACATCCCACTATCTTTATTTAAACTTCAGTAAATCCTGTGAGTATTAAATTCTCTTCAAGCTGGTTTTGAATTAAGTTGTCATTTTCAGAAACTGATTGTCACCTCTACGTAAGAGAACCCACACATTGCTCTGCTATTTAACCCATAGATGGAGGGAAAAGAGCTGGATTCATACTCTTTTCAAAGTGAACATGATGAACTCAATCAAGATTTAACCTCAGCTTGCCAATTTCTCTTTTTGATTTATTAACCTTTACATTACCTACAATTTCATGAGCATATAGTGATTTTCCAAGTGTAGCTTAGATGTGGCACAAGGCTGAAAGTATGGAGCACCCATTAAGGATCAAACTCTCTATTCAGTCGTAATTGTTCTAGAGAGACAGGCTTGCTGACCATTACACCACCTTGAGGTTCCCAATTCCATGAGTATATATGTAGATAGATGTTAATGCCTGTAAGAATAAAATTTGATTATCTATTTATTAACAAAAAGACTTTTCCTGGGCAATGCCACATCACCTTCCTCTGAGAAGTACCAAAGCAATTAGAATATGACTGCTGAGTGAATCGATTGCAAATTTATGAAAAAAGTAAAGTTGTTTTATGAAGAACAAGAGAAATAAAAATGGAATTGCTTTAAAACATTGATCAGGAATCAATAATGACCATTTAGATTTTATCTTTTATTTATAGAAGTCTGGAATCAAATTCACCAACTCACTGTCAAAAGAATTATCTGGAATATGAATCTGTATAACCCTGGCACTTCTAAATAATTTTGTGACAAGTTTTCTATATTATTTTATTAAGTTTCAAAATATTTTAAACTTTCGTTTTTTCTAGATGCAATCTCAGAGAATATGAATTCTTACCAAGATTCATTATTGGCGGCGACAATCCTAACATTAGATATTAAAATCACACAGTGTTGATAGAATACAAAGAAATACAGGAATTCCTACAGAAGGTTGTAAAGGAAAGAGAGAAGAAAGGACTAAACAACAATTTGTAAGAAAAATGAATGTATGCTAGTCAGCAAAAGTGGTATGAAAATATATGTTTGTGATGAAATAAGATACCTGGCAGAATATAGTTGTCTCCTCCCCTAAAAAATTGGTATGAAAATATATACTCCTCTGCAAGTATGAACGATGAAGAATTGACACATTTTGGGAGAAATCAGTACTGGTTCCTAGAGTCTTCATTTCATTTCTCAGAAGTAATGTTGGAATTGGACCCTAAAGTACTAAACAAAGACAATTGTTTAGAAGGGTTATTTGCAAAATTAGTCTCAGTAAAGATGTATATGTATGTTTTATAGATTATGCAAAAGTGTTTGATAAAGTATGACACAAAGAACTATTTGAACTGCTAGGTAAGCTTGATTTATTTGAGAAAGATAGAATGATCCCAAAATTATGCTAGGAGAAAATTGTCTGGATACGGATAGAAAATGACTTCAGTAAATAGAAAGGTGGTGTAAGACAAGGATGTGTTTTCTCACCAGATTTCTTAAACCTTTATAGTGAGATGATTCTGAGAGAAATAGAATTCCTACAAGGATTCATTATTGGCAGTGACAATCTTAACAACAATAAATATGTAAATGATACTGAGTTGATAGAAGACAAAAGAAAATAAAGGAACACCTACAGAAGTTAGTAAAGAAATGTGAGAAGAAAGGACTAAAGAATAATTTGTATGAAAAAAAGAATGTATGGTTGTCAGCAAAAGAAATATCCCAAGATATGAACTATAAATTGGAGACATCGGAATCTAAACAAGTATGAAAAAATCTAAATATTGAATCAGGGTTTTAACAGAGGATGAAAAATGTGACATTGAAATCCTAAGGCATATTGGAATAGCAAAAGATGCTATCTGAAAGCTAAGTAAACTATTAAGAAACATGAAAACTTCATTAGAAACAAAGAAAACAGTAATAAAATTGTTATGTAATATTGGTCCTTCTATATGGCAATGAATGCTGGGCAATCTCCTTACAGATGAAAAGAAACTTGAGACAACAGATGTGGTTCTCTAAGAGGATGCTGAGAATATCATGGACTGAAAATGTGAGCAATGAGAAAGTTTTAATGAAAATGGTAACAAAAGGGACATTTATACTTAGACTCATATAGAGTTAAAATTTCTGGGGCACATAGAGGACTTGGAGAACTTGACACTTACAGGACATAATGAAGATAAGAAGGTTAGAGGAAACTGCAAATAAGGGACTAGGAGAGATCACAAAATAAACAAGCCTTACTCAGTTACAAAAGAGAGGAAGTTGTGAAGAGTCATAATTGCCCATGTCTTGATGGGACACAGCACATAGAAGAAGACAGCTCAGTAAATATAAAAGAATAAAAAGTGGTGTAAGACAAGGGTGTGTCTTCTCACCAGAATTATTCAACCTATACAGCACAGTGATTCTGAGAGAATTAGAAGTCCTACCAGGATTTATTATTAGCCGCCACAATCTTAACAACACTAGTTACACTGATGACAGAGTGCTGATAGCAGACATAGGAAGGAAACTAGAGGAACCCTTGCCGAAGGTAGTAAAGGAAAGCAAGAGGAAAGGATTAACACCAATTGTAAGAAGAAAGAATTTATGATTGTCTGCAAAAATTGCAAATTAGAAAATAGAAAAGGGTGAAAGACAAGGGTGTGTCTTCTCACCAGACTTATTCAACTTTTACAGGCTTACAGCCATATCACAAAGAAACACCAGTTCTTGCAAGATCACTGAAGTTAAGCAACATCCAGCCTGGTTAGTACGTAGATGGGTGACTGCTTGGGAATACCAGGTGCTTTAAGCTTGGATGTGCATGTGGTTTAATGGATAATGGCTCAGAATTTCCAATTCCAAGCCAAGTACCAATTCCAGTTAGGTTTGTTATATTCACTTATGTATGAAAACTCTTGGGAAAGGTATGAATCCATCTCTTTCCCCCCAGCTATAAGTTAATTAGTAGGACTTGTATTAGTAAATTATTATAATCTCCCAAAAATTGTTACAATCTAAAATTATTTTCTAATTTTAAATAACCTGCATAGAAGAAGAAGAATGAGCTTGAGTAAATGGATATAAGGGTAAGGTTTAGGAGAGATAACAAAAAGACACAATTTAGTAAGAGCTACAAAGGATAGGAAATAGTGGAGAGCCATGATTGCCAACATTCTAAAGGGACACAGTATATAGAAGAAGAAGAATGAGCTTGAGTAAATGGATATCAGAGTAAGGTGTAGGAGAGATAACAAAAAGACACAATTTAGTAAGAGCTACAAAGGATAGGAAATAGTGGAGAGCCATGATTGCCAACATTCTAAAGGGATTATAGAAGAAGAAGAATGAGCTTGAGTAAATGGATATCTAAAGGGACAACAAAAAAGACATAGTAAGAAGGAAGAAATAGAATGATTGCCAACATTCTAAAGGGACACAGTAAATGAATATCAATGTAAGGTTTAGGAGAGATAACAAAAAGACACAATTTAGTAAGAGCTACAAAGGATAGGAAATAGTGGAGAGCCATGATTGCCAACATTTTAAAGGGACACAGTATATAGAAGAAGAAGAATGAGCTTGAGTAAATGGATATCAGAGTAAGGTTTAGGAGAGATAACAAAAAGACACAATTTAGTAAGAGCTACAAAGGATAGGAAATAGTGGAGAGCCATGATTGCCAACATTTTAAAGGGACACAGTATATAGAAGAAGAAGAATGAGCTTGAGTAAATGGATATCAGAGTAAGGTTTAGGAGAGATAACAAAAAGACACAATTTAGTAAGAGCTACAAAGGATAGGAAATTGTGGAGAGCCATGATTGCCAACATTCTAAAGGGACACAGTATATAGAAGAAGAATATAAAATATGAGATTTTCTTTTTTCATTATTTTCCTTTGTGAGTTTTAGAATATTTACAAATATTTGTGGGTATATGGCCGAGTGGTTAGAATGTTCATTTTCCGACCATGTGATTTGTGTTTGAATTTTAAGATCATAGATTTATCAATGACTTCTTGATATTATCTGCCTGCGGTGGCAATCCCTGAATGCAGCACCTTTGGAAAGTGCCTGAAAACCATATTGCAAGCCTTGACCCAAGATTTATTTTCATATATATGAAAAATATAACAATAATCAAATCTTGATTTATTTTGTTATATTTCATAAATAAAGTTGAATCACTTAAGAACTAACTTTACTGCTTCTATGTGCAATTTCTTTTTAGGATTTGGTGATCATGGTTCTCCACAACTTCCTATCCTTTGAAGCTCTTAGCATAATTTACTATCCTGCACACTCCCTGTTCTGCTATACAAGTGTCCTTTGTGTTTCCACTTACCCTAAAAATTCCTTGTTGCTCAAATGCTCTGTCCATGATATTCTCAGCATCCTTCTGTAGAACCACATTTCTATTGGCTCAAATCTCCTCTTCATCTGTGAGGAGATTGTCCACCATTCACTGCTATATAGGAAGACTGATATTGCATAATCAGTTTAATATGCTCTTCTTTGTTTGCAACAAAATATTTCTGTTTTATTAATACTTTGCTTAGCTTTTGAAAGGCATCTTTTGCTATCCCAATGCACATTTGCATTTTGGTGTTGTGTTTTTCATCCTTTGTTAAAATGCTTCCTAAATATTTAAACTTTTGAACTTGCTTTGTTATAGTGTCTCCAGTTTGTATTTTACATTTCTGACTGTTCCTCTTGCTGGCAAACATATATTCTTACAATTGATTTTTAGTCCTTTCTTAGCGCACTAAAAAACATTTTTAAAGAATAGAATATAGAATAAAATATAAATAAATGTAGCAGTAGAAGAAATATATTGATAAACGCTTGAAAATTGATCATAAAAATGTTATTCAGGAAGGAATGCAGCTCAAGATCTTTCTCCACTTACAGAATATGTTTCCAATGTTTACATTTACTTTCAATTTAAAAGAGACAAAACAAAAAGCACAAACATCACACATTGCCTACATCACAACACTCACTATTTCTAGGAATCTCACAATTTGTCTCTACCTAATCTGGTGATAACTTAAGAAAGCTAAAAGCTTGGACCATATTTCTTCCAAAATAAACTTTGAACAATTTCTAACAAAATTTCATCCTTGTCTGAGAAGGAGTATTAATAATTTTAAAAAGTCAATCAGTAGAATTAATCAACATGAAATATTTGCTGTCATTAATAATATTTGCATTAAAGAGCATTTGCTGCCTAAATACACAGAATATATATATATATAAAATCAGCCTTTTCTACAGTATATATATATATATATACTCTTGGAGATCCGATTGAGCTTTTTGTAGAAAAGGCTGATTTTAAAGAAAACAGTGGCTGCTGCTGCTTCCATTAATGCATTGCTTTTAAATTACGAATTGAGCTCTCCTGGCTACTGGCTTATTTCATATAGAAAATGTTAAAATTTCCCTTTCTCTCTGTCTTTCACTGATAGCTTAGGGTTAAGATATCTGACTGATGCCAAATCAGTCGAGTTTCAATCCCAGCTTGAAGAAATCAGACATCTAGACACACTGAAGAGTTGTGATACAGTGAAACAGTCTGTCTGTGGATGACTATATATATATATATATATATATATATATATATATATATATATATATATATATATATATAATCTTCTTCAGGATGTAGGTGATCATGGCCCTGCATATCTTCCTGTCTCTTGTAGCTCTTAATAAACTTTGTCTTTTTGTTATTTTGCTCAAACCCTGTTCTGCCGTCATATATATGGAACCCTGTTAAAAATTAGAAAAATAATTCTTTTTCGATTTGGAAATAGATTTTAGTTTCACTAAAATATTAATTCTGTGCAAAAATAAGCTCACACGGACTTCAAATTCAAATTTTGACATTAGCATTTATCAACCAATCTCAAATGTCATTCAAGCTTTGAATAAGCAGACAACTATTCTTACCATTTGCTGCAAAAATTTGAAGGATCATGATTAACAATATTTTCCCTCCTAAAAATATTTATTAAAAATTCAGAAATATATGTATTAGCCAATGAAACTTCTGAGTTTACTAAATCTAACTTTTAACTTCCTGTGATCCAATTTTTTCTTATAAGCAGCGTAACATAAATTAATGTTCTTTAGTCTTCAGTATAAATTGACTAAGGAATTCTCAAATTAATTTTTTCACATATTCAAACTAATTTGTTATTGGAGTTCTAAGTTCTTTTTGCAAATTAATTCATGCTTTTTAAATCTTTCATACAATATGAAAATATACAAGCGAAATGTATAAACAAAGTGAACTGTAGCAGTAATTATAATACAGCATTTATTTGGCCAAATGTTGGAATTACATGCATGCATAAAATAAGGTATATATGTGAATTTTGGCATACATCTTTACATTTTATACTAATGCAATTCATTTCTTTGTGTTGTAAAAAGAAAAAGAAAACATTTTTCATTGAACTTTGTTTGCAAGGAACTTTGTAACTTGTTTCTTTTAACTCCCTAAGGCTTTATCCTGGGTCTTGCACTGTTTCTGATCTTCATCAATGATCTTTCTAATGTTATCAATTTTTAAGTAGGTATCTATGCAGATGACACTACCATTTACTCCTGTCTCAATAGTAAATCCATCAGCACTGACAAAGTTAACCTGGCTGCTGCTCTTGAAAAGGACCTCCAATCAGTGGTTAATTAGGGCAGGAAATGGCTTGTAAATTTTAATGCTTCCAAAACTAAACTACTCTCATTTAACCATAGCATCAGCATGGCTGATGCTCGACTCCAGGAGAGCATCTCACTGCGCCTTCTTGTCCTCATGTTTTCATGGAACAACTACATTGAATCAATAGCTGCATCTACTGCAAGGAAAGTTGATTCACTGTGTCATGCCAGGAGATTTTTCTCATCAGATTCCATCTTACACATCAACAAATTTAGCATTCATCCTTGTATTGAATATTGTTGTCATATCTAGTCTGGTTCCCCTGCTTTTCATCTTGAGGTTCTTGATAAAATCCAAAGAAGGATCTGCAAATCTTGATTTGGCATCTTGACTTCAGTCACTTTCTCACAAACATGATGTGGATTCCCTCTGTCTTTTCTACAAATATATTCATGGCAACTGCTCTGACAAGTTCTTTTCCCTGGTGCCCTGACGACATGAATTTAAGCATGCTACTTGATTGGCATCTAGGTCCCAGCATTTTTCTGTTGAAACAGTTAAATGTAACTGCCACTTCTACTCCAACATTTTCTTTTCTCGCACTTCCCAACATTGGAACTCCCTTCCTCTTACTTGCTTCACTGATAAATACAATTTTCAAAAATTTAAATGCAACATCAAGTGCCATCTTCTGTTGTCTTATTAAAATTTGTAGAGCTGTGTTTGGAGATTATTTCTTTTCTTCGATTTTCACACCCTTTTTCATCTACAAATATATATATATATAGTTAGATAATTGTGTAAAATAGTAATGGGGAGGTTCAGATCCCAAAATGATTAGTTTGTGGTCATAATTTCAGGGGTTATAAATCGTCTTGCAAGTTCAACTTCTGAAAGTGCCAGGGACATGAATCAAAAAGGGTAAAAATCCACATTCACAATTTGCAACACATAACTACCTTCTTCACCCACAAAGAGTCAAGAGTCCGCAGACAGAGACACAACTGACTTGTCCACTGTTTGAAGACATAGATGTAAATGAGAGATGATATGAGAAAACTTATTCTTGAAGGGTTAAGTGTCTGTCTTTTCATCCAGAGTAGCATTCTTTTATTGAGGTAAGAAGAGCTTTGATTGGT